TCAGGTGCAACCTTGACGGCGGAGCTCCAGACTTGCTCAAGATGCCCAAGGTCAAGCTGCGTCTTTGCACGCCAACCAACTCCAAACCTTGCGAGCCCAGGTCCATGACCAGGCTATGGAGATCCAGGGGTGGGAGCACCGTGCGGCCTCTTGGTCGCAGGACCTACGACTCTTGCTGGCTGATCAGGCGGTCGAGATCCGCGACCTGACCGGACGGCTGGATCACGCCTCCCGTCAACGAGATAGCATACGGGACGACAATGACCACCTCCTTAGGGAGATGACGCTCGCCGGATCTGAGATCCACCGGCTCCAATCCCGGATCCACGACCTCGAGCGGGATCTGGAGGATTCTCAGACTGCTAGGGCAGCCACGGACGAGAGCTTGGACCGACTCCGTGACGAGTTGCGTCTGACCCAAGAGGAGGTGGTGACCAACGACTATGTGGGATCCACCCATGGCGTATCCACCTTAGGGGTCGGCGCGTGGAGGATCTCCCGCGCCAAATCCACCTCCCTCGTCGCCGAGATGTAGCTCTGGCTCAGCTTGCTGAGGAGTTGCAGGATACCAAGGAGTCGCTCGAGAAAAGCGTCTGCCGGACGAGAGTACGCGCTCGAGGAGTTCGTGCGTATAACTCAATTACGCGACGAGATCCAAGCGAAGCTGGCGGACAGCGAACCCCAGCGGGACAAGGCGGCTACCGAGTGGGCGGATGCCAAGCGTACGCAAACGGAGCTGGAATCCAAGCTTCGCCGCACGAGTACGTGGATCCTCTTTTAGCCCTTGCTAGTAACTCCATATTCACTTGTTATTGTCAATCCAGGTGACAAATTGAAGGAAGCCGATGCAACCACCGCGAAACTCCAGGATCAACTCGCTGAAGCCCAAACTCAGCAGCAACAGCTGGTCCTGGAGCGCGATCGTGGCTTATCGGAACGGGATTTGGCACGTCGACGACAGGCGCTGGTGACAGCGGCAGTGTCGGATCCCCTCCCTCCCTTGTCGGGACCCTCTCGTGCTGCCAGCGCCTCTGCTCCTCTTCCGTCTGTAAGTGGGGCGGATCCGTCAGTTGCGAAACGCCAGCGTAGTGCATCTCCTGCTCCTAGCCCAGGATCCCCCCGTCCTCACAAGCATGCCCGGGCCCCCCCAAAGGCCAAATCCAAAACCTGTTCGGCCTCTAAGGTGGCCTCTCAGGTGGGACCTACATCCGTTCCCAAGGCAGGATCCAAATCCGCCTCCAAGACGGGTCCCACATCCACGTCCAAAACTTCCGCCTCTCCCTCGAAATCTGGAGCCGGATCTGAGACCGGATCCACCACTGCATCCAAGTCGACTTCAGTATCCACGACTGGATCTGGGTCCAAGACTGGATCTACGGCGTCCAAGACCGGATCCGGACCCAAGACTGGATCCGTTGTGGTGTCCAAGGCGGGATCCTCGGCATCCAAGTCCGGATCAACTGCCAAGGCTGGATCCGTTGCTGTATTCAAGTCGGGATCGGCGCCCAAAACTGGATCCACGACTGCGCCGTCGTCCCAGGCAGTGGTGTCCACTGGATCCACAGCCATCGTTGCTCCTACGACGGGGTCAGCCCCATCCACGGCTAAATCCGGACAGTCTCAGTCGGGATCCACCGCTGCCCCTTCAGTGACGACGCCTACCGTTCTCCGGCCAGCTTCCACCGGCCATCCGCCCGTTCGTGCTGGATCCGGGAAGGGGAAAGCTAAACGTGTCATCCCCCCGGGATGTGGGCTTGGCAGCTCGAAGGATGACGAGGATGAAGAGTCGGACTGGTCCGACGGCTCTCCAAACCGATCGTCGTCAAAGCGCACGTCGTCCTCCGGCCCGTATCCCTTCACTCTGAGCGATGAGGACGATGAGGACGATGAGGACGACGATGACGATGAGAGTCCAGAGGATTCGGAGGAGGCTCGAGCCGCTGAGGATGCCTTGGAGGAAGACACGCGACGGGCTCTGTCCCAATCCCGATCCGAAGCCCGGCGGAGATCCCTCTCGACGCCGCCTCCACAAGTCGCTGGCACAGTCGGATCCGGAGGCGACACTGCGGGATCCGCGATCCAAGTCGACAGTGACGGCGGATCGGGTAGCGATGGTGGGAGGGGGTCGCCTCGTGGTGGCGGACTCCTTGGATCTGGCGGAGGGGGGGTCGCCTGGTGGCGGACTCCTTGGATCTGGTGGAGGGGGTTCACCTCATGGTGGTAGATCTCCGGGATCGCCTCATGGTGGCGGTTCCCCAGGATCGCCTCATGGTGGCGGATCCCCTGGATCTGTCTTGATCCCCGCTCCCCCTAACTCATCACTGCCAGGGATGCTCCCCGTGGCTCCGTTCAGTCCGGATGCCGCCTTCATTCCTGGTAGACGTGCTCCTGTGGCCTTCGCTACCAGAGACATCGAGCCTTGGTCCGCCAAGAAGTTGAACCGGGTCGCGGTCATCTCAATGAAGATCACGGTCCTGTTCCCTGAGCTGCCTTTTCGAGCTGAATGGATATTTCCTCGGACAGCAGACGCCATCCCGAGGGCCGGGTACGTGGATTCGCTCATCACCAGACCTCTCGTAGAAGAACTGACAAGAGCTGCCCCGTGGGATACGCTGGTCACCACACCGGTGGATCCGGTTAGCTTCAGAGGTGATGTGCGTGGGCGACTCGGGGTATTCGTTCGTGCGTTCCAGGATTTCGTCTCCAAGCACCGGGTTGCTATATGGGAGGGCACTCACCGGTTCCCCATCTCTCGGAATCAACTGCAGAGTTCGACTTGGTTGTCCAACTTCAACAAACAGCGTGGTAACCGACGTAGCCATGCTGGCCGAGCTTGGAAGAGAGTCCTTGTGATCCTCGTGTTGGCAATCCAGGACGGTTGGTGTGACGTGGATATTTTGTTGGATCCATCCTTCTTGCAGCTTCCCCGACGCGGGGATAAGGTGGCTTGGTTTCCGGTATCCATATCCCGTCAAGCCAACTTGGAGGATCCCGACCTCCATCGCCCAGAACCCACGAGCCTATTTGGAAAGCCTTGCGAGAGATCGACGAAGCCGAGCCTTGGCGTATCCAGTTTCGCGGGGACTTGAGACAACACCCAGGACGCCAGATCCAGCGTCTAGTGGGCAAGTTCTTCAACGTTCAGCCCAAGACTACCTGATCCTCATCACTCTTTGACGTCACGCCCCCAGTTTCAGTCTTCGTGGATTCATTTCGTAGCAGTAACTAGCGACTGGAAACTGGGTCGAGTTAGCCCTTTGCATAAGCTATTATAATCCACACTCTCTTACTTGAATATGTCTATAACATTCCCTCGTTGGTTGCAAAATCTAGTCAGAGCCTTTCAGTGTACACCTGAAACTAGGCTGGATCCACCCTTTCAGTGTACACCTGGATCTGGGCGGGATCCACCCTTTTAGTGTACACCTGGATCTGGGCGGGATCCACCCTTTCAATGTACACCTGGATTTGGGCGGGATCCCGGATCCGAGGATAGAATTTTCCACAGTAGAATCCTTCGTAGTCAGCAGGCCTATTAATCGCAAAGAGAGAACCATCATCCGCACCGACGACGCCTGGAAACCCTCTCATCGCGCGGAAACCACGCTCAACATCTTTCCACTGAGCTGCAGTGCGGTGGAGGTGTATGAAGGTCTTGCACGCCTTCCGAATTTCCCTTGCACAGAAGATTAATCACTTCACTTTATCAAAAGGATGACACACCCAGCGCCAGCCCAGTGCCTTTATAGCCCTTT